GGTTACAATTCAATATCCAAGTTTTTTCAATTTTATTCTTCATATTTTTTCTTATTTGTCGTTGGTGAATTGTTTTTTTCTTCCGTCCACCATCCACGGTGTTTATTTCATCAATGTACTCAATATCTGAGCTAGGTAGTTCATTACAACTATTATTTTCAAGATTATCTTCTTCCAGAATCACAAACTCCATATCATCAAAATTGAATAAGTTATCCTAAAAAATATATTTTATCAAAAATATATATTTACATAATAATAATAGCTTATAACAGATTAAATTAATAAAACTAACATTGTTGTTTTGTCATATCAGAAATATTAAAGCAAAAAGCCAATATAAAATACATATTATTAACTTTCATACAAACAATGTAATATTATAATTCATCAAATATGTAAATCAAAGTTGTTGGAACACCAATAAATTGTGTTTTTTGTTGAAGAATGAGGTGATTTTAAGTTCAAGTTAATTTGTTATTGTAAGACAAATAATATATTAGTTCAGTTTTCTACTTATCAGTTATCTATTAGTATTTATAACTATTTGCAACTATGAAATAAAAAAGTTGTACAAATTATACAGTAGACTGTATATTTAAAATCACTTCATTGTTCTAGACACCAAACCAATTTGCAATTCATTTTTAAAAATATAAAAATTAAGTAAAATATTCAATATTATAGAACTCACTTCAGTAACATTTTGTTTTTCAAATAAAGACTGAGTTGGCTGTATATTTAAAATAACCCCATCGTTCTAAAATACAATTTAAAAAATAAACTTTTTTGTATTTTGTATTATAGATTAAAATATGTAGTTGACTATGTTGGTAATTTGAAAAGTGCATTAATACAAATGTTTTCAATACAACCAACTTATTACTAACTACTAACTACTATGGTTAAAAATGATTAATAGGTCATTTAAAAAATGGCTAAATAAATCTGAGAGTATGTGAAATATATTGTTACCTTATCAACTCTAGAAGTAGCTGACTTAAACAGTTTTCTGGGTTTGAAAAATTTGTATTCATGGATTGCATTTGGTTTCTCCAAAGCTATCGAGTTCGATGTTTTATTCTAAAGTTCATTCATACATAACAGACAAAAAGTATGTGACAGAATATATAATTTTAAATAGGTACCTACCTTTGTTACAATAATTGTATAAACATATTATATTAACATTATATAATTCATTTTACTTACCTTCTTTAATAAAGAACTATTTACAATTCGTTGACTTCTTTTGGACATGGTGGTTAGTATAAAATATTAAAATTACAAAATAAAAAATGATGATATCATAATATTAATAATGTTAACGATTAAAATATATCGATAATACCTATTTTGTTATAAATATTATAATGATTAGGTATTAATAAGTCAATATTCCTATCAGTATAAAATATTAGTGTTTGTTGTATACGTATTACGTACTAATAAATGTTATTAATAGACGTCATATTGCTGGAAGGCCAAGTTTGAGCATTCTTATCTCAGTCAATAAACAACACATGATAACGAAAAATGTTTTGAAACGTTCCAAATGTTGTCTTGAAAATTAAAACGTTTTGCTCCACTATGTTTGTTTATCAATGTTATCAATATTATAAAGATAACTTTTTTTAAAACTTTTAAAGATTCGACTTACGGAAATCGACAGTTTTGATAAAAAATAAATATTTTGCCTATACTTATAACATAGGGAAATAGGCATAAAATATAAAAAGTTTTTAAGCTGTATATTAATTACGTTGGAAATAGTGCATTTTGCAATAAATGGAAATGGTTCATTTTGAAAAAAACTACCTATTGATGGAAATAGGCAGTTTTGAATTAAATGGCAATTTTTATATCGAGATTTAACGAGGAAATAGTGCATTTTGTCAAAAATTAACCACGCCATTCGATTTCTCGTATTTTTCTACATATATTTCCATATAAAACTCAATTTGGTCGAAAATGGAAATAGGCAGTTTTGGAAAAGAACCCCTCATATATAGGAGGTCGATTTTTTTTCTCACTTAATTGTTGTCGCTTCACGTTACAATTGACTGGTTGCGTTTGCCACGTGAACCATGCATTCGAATGCCTTTGTTCTTGGATGTTGGTTTTTACATTTGTCACATTATTTGCAAGGGTATGTTTTGCTAGGACATGTACTCCCGTGGTGTTGTCATTTTTCTTCCTTTACGTGACATTTTTAGCGATGATATTATAAACGAGACTTGTATTATTATATGTGTGTGTGGATTATGTGTTCTGGTCGTACGTACTTTTATTGAAGTAGAATTAAATGTCCGTCATTGTGTCTTTTGTGTACATTGTAATGTGCATTGATTCTTGTAAGTTGCCTTTTGATGAAGTTATATGTGGTATAGCTTATCGGTGGTATAATTGTTCATTGTAAAACATTTAGCTATTAGGCATTTTATTGTTTGAGGTGATATTGTATTTTTGCTTGGGATTGTGTTGTGTACCTATTTCAGCTTGTGCAGAAATTAATATTAAATTGAAGAGGTACTTGATATGATTTAATGGGCCTTTGAGTGAGCATGTGGAATTTTGATTACGTCATAACGTGTTGTTGTTCGATATTTTATCATTGATTAATTTCGTTTATGCCCAAATATGGGCATGTTTTTAATGAGCGTCCGTCTGGGAATTTTAATGACTTCCTGTTGTTTTCACGATTATACGATGATTTTTTCGTTGAGAAATGTCGATTTTTAATATTCAAAATAGTATATTTAATTACGTTTATTTTTATACACCAAAATATGTCTTCACCTAGCATATTCATCCCATACGTTTATTAGAGTATAAATTATGAATTATAAATTATAAAGTATACTATTTATATATTACACATCGAACACTTTGAACAAAATGGTGTATTTTCCAAATTAACACTATCGTTAGATGGAGTTTGAAATTGTCCAACAGTCAGAACCTCTTCAGCCAAATTTTGAAATATTGTTGGGATTGCCTCAGGTTTTAATGTATTTTTTTGTTAGTTACTAAACATTTTATCTTCAAAATGCAAAGAACAAAGTTTATATTTTCGGTTCAGAACAGCAGGATTAATGTACATTAAACATTCACAATTACATTTGTCCAACCAACTTGCACATCTAGAACAATAATAATAATAATACATATTTGAAAACATAATAATGACTATAACATGACCTTATAATTTTGGGCGGTACTGGTTTGCGCACAAATACCAAAAAGACAACTTTTTTGGGCACAAAACTACCACTCGTTTGGGAACAGTTGAGCCGTAAACATGCACATGGTTTGCGCACAGTTACCTTTTGGCCTTACCTTTTAATACCCTCTTAATAAGTAAATTATTAAAGTACCTACATACATTTTCCTTCTCACTTAACAGACTATAAGGACTGTCTATGAATATATTCATAGGTGTGGTTAAAAATGAATATTTCAAATAACTATTTATAGAAAATAATATTAGTATAATATAGTATACATATTATATAATATCATTTTTTTAAGATATATCAATTTAGAAAAACTACTTATATAAAATATTTATTTTGGCGCAAATGATATGTCATTTTTAACAGTTAACAGTTAAGTTAATGAAAAGCCAAAAGTAACTAGTTAAGTTAAAAAGTTAATATAAAATTAAATTATTAACTTAACTTTAACTTTTTAACTCGTTAAGTCCCAGCCTTGCATTTTTGCACCTTTGGCGCTTATGTCATATAGCCTTATTTTCGTGTGCGCAAACCAGTTGTACATTTAGGATAACCGTGTGCGCAAATGAGTTCCGATTTTTCATGTAAAAATTATAAAATGTGCGCAAACAAGTTGCAGCCATAATGTTTTAAGTTATTATTATAAATTATAAAGTATAATATTTATATATTACACATCGAACACTTTGAACAAGATGGAGTTTGAAATTGTCCAACAGTCAGAACCTCTTCAGCCAAATTTTGAAATATTGTTGGGATTGCCTCAGGTTTTAATGTATTTTTTTGTTAGTTACTAAACATTTTATCTTCAAAATGCAAAGAACAAAGTATATATTTACGGTTCAGAACAGCAGGATCAATGTACATTAAACATTCACAATTACATTTTTCCAACCAACTTGCACATCTAGAACAATAATAATAATAATACATATTTGAAAAAATAATAATGACTATAACATGACCTTATATTATTAAATAAACTATGAAAGTACACCAGGTATTTTTACAATGTTTAATACAAATACAATTTACAATTAATGTTAACAAATATGTAATCAAAATTACTTGTTTACAATAATTACAATGATTTTTAGTTTTGGTTAGCTTAAAAATCTATTTCCGAATCTGAGTTTGATGTATCTTCTTTGGGTTCAAGTAGGATATATTGTGGAGATCGTGGTTTTAATCTTAGATTGGCGAATATTTTACCAACTTTGTAGTGGAGTGTTCCGTCAGCTTTGTGAAGTTAAGTTTTTCATGGACATTTGTAAACTCTTATGTTATCCAAGTAGATAGGTATCAGGTATGGTGTTAGCATACCAATGCAGTGTATTTGTTTGTTTCTCATTAAGTACTAAGTCTAAAGGGTTATTTTTAAAAATATATTTTGATTAGTTTTAGTTTTTTAATTTTTGTTTGTGGGGCAGCTGCCTATAGTGCGGTCGACGAAAAGTAGGCCGCGATCGTCACGTGCCAACCGGCCGTTTTACGGCATGGGTCTCCAAACGTTTTCCCGCCTAATATAATTTCAAACCGTGTAATGTACTAACGTTTATAGTAAAAAAAATATGAAATCATTATTTTTTTAAAAAATTTTTTTACACTTATGATGATAAGAATAGTCAGAAATAATAATAAAAACATATATTTACATATAGTTAGAAACAAAGTCATCGTTTTTTACTATATTATTATATTTAATAATTTTTTTTTACATTTTTTATAATAAGAATAGTCAACATTTACAATAAAAACATATATTTACAAATCAAGTAATTTGTCATCGTCGTTTTCGTCTTCATCAGTCGAACTTTCATCGGGATTTATGGAAAGTATGATGGGCTCTAACATTTCATCCTTTAACACTTCCTTTACAAAATCTGCATCCTGGAGTTTGCTGCAATGTTCGCCACATTTTTTCCAAGCCTCTTTGGTGATCTCACCTAATGCATTGTTTACCAACACTTCAACATCTGCCATCTTGAAAGTGCTATTCTTTTTGGCGACTTCACCCTTGACTTGCGCCCAAATCAGCTCAATTGGGTCGTACTGACAGTGGTAAGGTGGAAGTCTTACCACTTCATGACCCATTTGTAACGCTACTTCATCAAGTTTATATTTTTTTTAATTAAGAAATAAAAAATTTAACTTTTTCTCGTAGTTCACTTAATGTTTCTACAGGTGAATATTGAATACATTTTTTTTCGAGCCATTTTTGAACATCTGCCTTTCGCGCGTTTACCTTAGGGTAATCATCGGATAGCACAGAATGGTAGGAAGCATTGTCCATTACAACAATACATGGTTCTTCTAAATTGGCCAACATCTCAATAAACCATTTTTAAAAAATGTCCGAGTTCATTTGCGAATGGTAGTCTTCTGTACTACCCGATTTACATCGAAATACCAATTTAGAATTTTTTACAAATCCAAATGAAGGTGAACCAGCGTGGCATACAATGAGTCGAGCGCCCTTCCCAATTGGTCCTTCTGTGTTTTCTGGATTTTGCGATATGTAACCTCGTGTATGGTTCTGGTTTACCCATGTTTTGTCGAGGTAAACTACTGGCCTTGTGTCATGATTCTGTCTCAATGCGTACATTTTTCTTAAAAATTTTACCCGACGAGCAACGATTTAATTTCTCGCCATCAGAGTCTACGCCCATCACACTTTCTGCACTTGAAATTCAAATTATGCAAAATAGCTTTAACTGACGTTTTTGAGCCCGGGTAATTAATTTTTTCTCGCGTCGCCACTAATATTTTTGAGGACGTCGGAAATTCGCCATTATCATAAAAATTATGTATAGTTCTTCTGACAACTTCGTTGTCAAAATCTTCAAAATTAGTCATAACTTTTACACGTTTATAACTTTTTCTAGGAAACTTGAGAGCAATTTTGCTAGAAGGTCCGACTTCAACTTCCTTTTTCGCTTCAGAGCAAACTCTTTTACACAAGCAAGACTTATACCACATGCTTTAGCAGTCACTTCATGTGTTTGTAGAAAAAAATCTGAAAGTTCTGGCTAACTTTTATCAATTGAAATCGTCTTGAAATAATTATATACATGGAAAATCACATTTCTTGTGTACGAAAGAAACGTGAGTGGTAACGTGTTACTAAGTTGTGGGTTAGACCTCCATAGCATTGTAGATTTAATTCAAATTAATGATTAATAAAATGTGGTAACTGATGACATGTGATAGCATTAATGTGTGATAAGGAGGAGAACGTATGTCGCACGTACGCGATCAGGCGACGGGGGATTATAATCACGTTTTAAGATATATGTATAGGTTGCCCAACGGCATATGTAAAGGTGAGTACCAAATCAGATCTTCATAGTGCTGGATACTACAGCAAGCGCTCTTCAAGCGCAATTTAAAAATATTATATTTTTTATGCTATAATTTGATTGCATAATTAATGTATTAGTATAAAAAGGTTAGTTTAGGTTATTGTAGGTCCTATAATATTCGAGGAAGCAAGGTTCAATTATTTTCGATCTTAGTATAATTAAGACAAAGAACATAATTGGTCTTTATTATAACTGCGCAATAAATACTTTTAAAATGTATGTATAAATACATCAATGTTAACCTTACTTGCCGTGTTGCATAGACCAGCATTTTCAACATTCTTCAAAACTTTCACACACATTTTGTCGTACTCGTCGTTAAAATCCTCGTTTATCTCATTCAAATCTTTATGCTGGTCTGTTGTATTCAGAGTGATATATTTTTCACCTTGAGGCGGTCAAACGCGACCAAGAGCTTGTAAAATATATGTCAAATTTAGATTTTGAAGAAAAAAAAATTAAAATAAACATACCGTGAATTTTTTTCATATGTCTGCTTAAAATATCTTTCCAATCATTTTTTACTGCAAATACTACACACTAATTGGTATCCATCATGAGTTTTCATATGTCTGAGCAAACTTTCTTTGCACAGCACAGCAGCACATTTTTAACAGTTAAACATTGCGAAAAAAAATTGGTATAGAGAAAAACTTAAGAAAACTTAGGAAAAAATCGAAAGATAAAGTTATAAGGACGTGTCAAAAAATAAGTTCATGACGAGGGTGAACGATAAAAATACCTTATGTCTCCTTATTGTCGAATGTGTCTTTCAGCAATAATAATAATGGTTTTTGTGTGTGTGAATATTTAATTGAATCAGGATACCTATATTGTCTCTTAATGTTTAACCGGCTTATTCATCTATTCCTAATGTCAGTACAGCGCCATAGAGTTCTAAGTATTCAGGTGCAAGCTTTTAGTATAGTAGATTTCCGCAGCCGAATAAAGCTTCATATAGAGGCGTTTTAATACCAGAATGATAAGCTCAGTTCTTCATAAGCTGGATGAATCGAAGTCCCTCGCTCCAGTGTCATTTTTTTCATCTCGCATCCAAGTGTTCAACATATTTTCTATATCTTGATTTTCACGTCCTTCACTTCCCAGTTGGACTATGCCTCTGTTTGCCATGTACTATTTTAATTCGGGCCATATGTTTCTTAAATGCAACACTATTTGGTTTTAAAATTCTCGTCCATTAACAGACTGCAAAATAGTAGGAGCTCCAAGAAAGGCAAAAGTTTCTATAATATTTAAATATTATAGGCTACCTCTTCAGCCCATTTACATTCGAATAATTTTTTTTTACATTTTTTATAATAAGAATAGTCAAAATTTACAATAAAAACATATATTTACAAATCAAGTAATTTGTCATCGTCGTTTTCGTCTTCATCAGTCGCACTTTCATCGGGATTTATGGAAAGTATGATGGGCTCTAACATTTCATCCTTTAACCCTTCCTTTACAAAATCTGCATCCTGAAGTTTGCTGCAATGTTCACCACATTTTTTCCAAGCGTCTTTGGTGACCTCACCTAATGCATTGTTTACCAACACTTCAACATCTGCCATCTTGAAGGTGCTATTCTTTTTAGCGACTTCACCCTTGACTTGCACCCAAATCAGCTCAATTGGGTCGTACTGACAGAGGTAAGGTGGAAGTCTTACCACTTCATGACCCATTTGTAACGCTACTTCATCAAGTTTATATTTTTTTTCTTTAGGTATTGCAAATTTAACTTTTTCTCGTAGTTATCATCAAATCACATTTCTTGTGTACGAAAGAAACGTGAGTGGTAACGTGTTACTAAGTTGTGGGTTAGACCTCCATAGCATTGTAGATTTAATTCAAATAAATGATTAATAAAATGTGGTAACTGATGACATGTGATAGCAATAATGTGTGATATTGAGGAGAACATACGTCACGCACGTACGTGATCAGGCGACGGGGGATTATAATCACGTTTTAAGATATATGTAAAGGTTGCCCAACGGCATATAATAAGGTGAGTACCAATTGAGATCTTCATAGTGCTGGAAATTACAGCAAGCGCTCTTTCAAGCGCAATTTAAAAATATTAAATTTTTTATACCATAATTTGATTGCATAATTAATGTATTAGTATAAAAATGTTAGTTCAGGTTATGATAGGTCATATAATATCCGAGGATGCAAGGTTCAATTATTTTCGATCTTAGTATAATTTAGACAAAGAATATAATTAGTCTTTTTTTATAACTGCGCAATAAATACTTTTAAAATATATGTATAAATACATCAATGTTTGTTAAAATTTACTGCGTTTGACGGTGACTTTGGACAGATTTGGTTTCCTCTAAGGATAATAATATCGTATTGTAATACTGTGCGTGCAGCAATAATTTGTATTGTGTTACGGATGTGCACGTATTATCGGAAGCACTAGGCCGTGACAATTGCCAGTATACCCCGTTCTTCTAAATTCTAAACTAAACGTCCTTTATATACCTCAGGAACTGGAAAACGTACTGTTTAATGAATTGGCACCGGTAATAGCTTCTTATCCGACCACTACATCATTTTTTTTGCTTGATTTTCCAGATTTTCTCTGGCTCTAGTTCGCATGACATTGGCGTTTCGGTTATTTAATTTGATAGTTGTAGGTAGCTAATTGTTGTTCTGTGTCTGATGTTTCATTTTTGATGTTTTGTGGTTGTTCTGTAATTTGTTCTGTTTCTGATACTTCATTTTCAATATTTTGTGGTTGTTTTGTGATATGTTCTGTGTCAGCAGATACTTCATTTTCGATATTTTGTGACTGTTTTGTAATTCATTCAGCTAAATTCTTTTCATTTTCTATCGTACTTATTACATCGTCTGGTAAATTTGAAGTGTTTAGACCAATTTTCGCAGCCAAATAAAGCTTCATATGGAGACGTTTTAATACCAGAATGATAAGCTCGGTTTTTCATAAGCTGGGTGAACTGAAGTCCCTCACTCCAGTGTCATTTTTTTTCATCTTGCATCCATGTTGTCAACATATTTTCTATATCCTGATTTTCACGTCCTTCATTACCTTGAGATTGACTGTGCCTCGGTTTGCCCTGTACTATTTTAATTTGAGCCATATGTTTCTTAAATTAGATACTATTTGGTTTGAAATTTCTCGTCCATTATCAGACTGCAAAATAGTAGGAGCTCCAAGAAATGCAAAAATATCTATAATATTATAGGCTACCTCTTCAGCCCTTTTAAATTCGAGGGGCTTGAGAACAACAAATTTGGTCAGGGGATCCTGTTACACCATAATAAATTTAAATTTTCCATCAGGATGAGACCGAAAGTCTATTAAATCAACTCTTGAGAACATGTTTTCGACGAGAACTAAGCAAACAAAAACATGGAAAATCTGGTCAAGCTGCTACTAAACGGCGAAAATACGTGTTTTTTGACCAGTTATTATTCCTCCTTCCTACAATGGATGATCGACCAACCGTCTCGGATTATAGCCCAGATAATACAAATGAAGACAAAAGAGGATGTGAACACAATTTTGAAGTTGTAAAAGAAACAAATATATCGGTTGATGACTTCCCTGCAAACACACTTCAAGCTCAAAAATCAGCAAGTCATGGCAAAATCAGTAGCAAAAAGAATCCGAGTTATGACGAATCTCTGTTAAACATTTTTAAGGAAAGAAGAAAGAAGTTCTTGGTGAAGATGTTCATTAAAGTCTAAAGATATTATTGGTTTAACTACCACTCCTTTTTTCGAGCCTTTTTGTTTTTGCTGACAAGGTTCTCAAAAATGCAAAAATGTCTCTATATCATTGCGTGTTATATTATTATATTTATTACCAAGTTCTTTGATCATTCGATCACGCCTACCATGTCCTATTGATATATGTGTGGTTTGCAATATATATCAAAATATAGCTCACTGGTTGACACATAAAACAGCACAACATTGTCGTCTTTTACAGGAAATATAAGTTTCGTTTTTCCTTGTACAACCAGGACATCATGTCTGCGACACCAGAAATAAATAAATTTAAAGTAAATCTAAATAAAAAAATAGTTGGTTGTATTTTATAAAAGTAGTTTATGCAGAGCTTCAAAGGTGCGGATTTCTATGTACTAAAAAGTATCGAAATACGCCATATAATATGCAGTAGAAATCATGAAAATATTTTATTTATTTCAAATTTACAAGTTAATTAATAATAAAAATTAATGATTTATTAACAAATAATTAATTA